TACCCAATTTTTTTGCCTGACGATCCTGCTTTTGCTACATTACTGGAACACATCCCTTTTGCAGCTGAGTGCCTACAAGTGGGGTACCAGTCACTCCCACATCCTGGTTAGGTATAGTTAGTCAATGGTCAGTTTTCATCTGTGATGTCTTGTCTTTACTGGAGAAAGCTCCATGCGCAGAGAAGGTGGGGCTGGGAATGTGTGCCTCATACCCTTGGGGGAAAATGTATCTGTACCGGACATGCTCTCCAGGATCTTGAGTCTGCCACTTCTTCCTTCTCTTTGCTCAGCTTGCCAGCAAAGGCGATGACTGTAGTCACAAATATTTTAGCACGACACTAATTCACACTGTTCATTCTGAGTCAACAGTTTTGTTTGGCACTCAAGGTGGACTCCCTCCAGGTGCAAATACTAGTTTCAGAGGAAGGATTTTCCTGATGCTCCTGGCAAGGGAGGAGACAATTAGGGTGCGATCAGATGGTGAGAATGGAGCGTGTTTGATCACACTGGAAAGGATTGCTTTGCTGGTTTCCTAAAAAAGTGGCCCCTGCCACTGGTCAAAAAGGGTCCAGCTTTGCGCTGATTTGCAATCTCTCGTACATCCTGTGATCACCAGAAAATAGTTTACACTGAACGGTGCCACATTTGGTAAAGTAGAGGCAACAATGGCTAAAGGTTGCTACATTTTTATTTTCAGTTGCGTGCCTTTTAAAAAGCTGGCTGAATAGCTCAGTGGTTTAGGAATCCAGCTGCAGAGCTGACGTTGGGAGTTCGATTCCCCACAGTGCCTCCAGGGGGAAGAGCCAACCTGCCGTGCTTGGGAAAGCTGAATAGTTCCAGGGCACCTTCTTAAGACAGTCAGAAAACTTTATCGGCATACTGTACAAAATTAAAACACACTAAGATGCAAATAAAACATTCAGGAGCTAACATGTGGTCGAGAACAGCCAAATAACACCGTTAGGGCTTAAAGAGGGGATGATAAATCACTTCTGAGCATTGTCTACACGGACGGCTCTGAAAAGGGTCACCATGAGTCAGAACTGACCTGAAGGCACACCACGATCATCACCGTCATTCATTTCATTAATTTCATTTCATAAATTCCTTTTAAAATAAGGCTGATAAAAGTATAGGCAAACCACCTCATACCCTCCTTACACATGTAGCTTTCCTCTCTGTCACACATAATGCTACAGAGAAAGGTCCAGTGTAATCTCCATGAACTGAGACATGCCACAGTGCTTCCAGTGCTATTTTATTTATCAATTAAAACTTCTAGAAGGAAAAAAAATGATCCTTAGACCATTGAGTGTAAGACGACCCCATGGGCTTCAAAAGGTCTAGTCCTATGTTGTTCCAATTTGGAACCGACTTATACCGGGCCCTAAAATAATTTTCAAGGTAAATCATCTTTGACTATCCAGTTTGTGAAGGGCCAGTTTGTAGATTCATATGACCCCACTATAGAGAACACATTCACAAAGCTGATTATAGCAAATGGACAAGAATATCTCCTTCAAGTAGTTGACCCAGCTGGGCAGGATGAATATTCAATATTTCCTCAGACATACTCCGTAGACATTAATGGCTACATTCCTGTTTACTCAGTCACATCAATAAAAAGTCTTGAAGTGATTAAAGTTATCCATGGCAGGTTACTGAATATGGTGGGAAAAGTCCAGATCTCCATTATGTTGGTTGGGAATAAAAAAGATGGGTGATCCGCTATGAGGAAGGGAAAGCTTTAGCAGAATCCTAGAATGCAGCTTTCTTTGAATCTTCTGCTAAAGAAAACCAGACTTCTGTTGATGTTTTCCAAAGGATAATTTTGGAAGCAGAGAAGATTGATGGGGTATGTTCACGAGGGAAGTCTTCATGCTCAGTGATGCGACTGCGCAGTGGAAGCTAAACTCTGGAAATGAGTTGTCGTGCCTAAGGAAGCAAACTGCTTGTTCCCCTCACAGTGAAACTACACTTTTTCTTCTTATGTTCACCTGAAAAATATACAGCCAGAGACTTTTCCCTTCAGGTTATGTTAAGCTCTTGACACCTGTGCAGAAAAAGGCTTCACTTCCATTTTCAAATTTTAAGCAATCATATTTTCATTTTATATATTGTATTTCTTTTACCAAGAATTTTACTGGCATTAATTTTTCAACGTAGTTGGGTGAGTTAGAATAATCATCCAGATGATGCTTATTGTTACACTACTGTCATCTAGGCTTAAATATCAGTGTTTCTTTGTGTTAAATGTATACTTGTAAATAAAATAGCTGCATATCCATAGACGATTGAGGGATATATAGCACAAGATACCAAATACAACAAATGTCATGAATCAGCATGTGTGGTGTGCCATCATGAGATCCAGATCAGGGGTGGCACCAGTTCTGCTCTCTTTAATGTACACCATTTTATTTAATTTAAATTAAGGACCTGTGACCGGTAACAATAGGATTGCTTCTCAGCCTGTGTCATGTGAAACAAGGTGACAAATATTGACATGAGAGCTAAGCAAATTCTTTATGAGAAATGTTAGGCCAAGAGGTGTGGTAGTGTTGGGTGGCAAAGGAGCAATGGCACTACCTAGAGAAGGCAGTGAGAAGGAAAACAAGTTGGTGTATATGTGGGTGTGGTATAGTACAGGATGAGCAAAAGATAGATTCTTGGGCATCTAAGAGATCCACAATTATAGTAAAGCTGGGATACTCCCCAGCCTAGCTCCATAGGAGGGGATATGAGGCTGCCCGAGAAGACATCATTAAAAGAGTATGTCTATGATATTGATATCCAGACTACCATGGCCTCTGTAGCCTGTTGCTGCTCTAACAGGGAATATAATGGTTTTTCCTTGCCTTTTGGAAACCTGCCCCCTTATTTGTCCCTTATTAGCTCACATGAGCTGAAACAACTACTGACCAGGTGCAGACTGAACTCATTACAACTGAAAGAGATTCAGGGACATTATGTGGAACAACATGGTACAGGTAGACATTGTTGAGCAAGATGCTCTAAAATGGAGAACATGGTACACCTTCAGATAGAATGTCCTCTGTATGCAGATCTGAGGGACCAATATCTAAAGCTCTTAACGGCTGGGATCCACTTCCTCTGTATGCACAGCCCCATTCCTGCTAGCTAACACAAACTACTATATATCCCAAAATTTCTAAAATGAGCCATGGAAAGGGGGAACTTATTGTTTACTTCATAAGTCCTTCAAGTTACTCTTGCATTTTGATTCTCCTTTTTCTTTTTTCAGAACACTCTTATATTTTATTACTATTATTTTACCATTTTATGCCTTTTATGCTTTTTTGTACTTACTTGCATGAGATGCCAAATACTAATTTATGATTTGTTTAATCTATGTTCTTGCATATAGCTTGGTCGGCTATGAAGCAATAAAGTGTTTGTATTACAGTACTTATTTTGGTTCCTCCCATATCATCTACTTCTCTTCAGATAAAACATAATTAAACTCAGTAAAATGTACTTATGGTTCATCCATCCATCCATCCATCCATCCATCCATCCATCCATCCATCCATCCATCCATCCATCCATCCATCCATCCATCCATCCATCCATCCATCTAAATTTATTTAGTATTGCAGCTCCATATCCATCCATCTAAATATTTAGTATTACAGCTCCCTACTGGCTGTGCCGCAATCCAAAAAAGGTAACACATCTACTGTTGTGAAGAAGGTCAAAGTGAGCTCCAGAAATCCCTTCTGGACCCAGCTCTCACTGCCTATTCTAGAGCCCGAGGTGTCAACTAATCTCCTTTTAAATAATCTAAACACTTTCCAAACATTCTTGTGCCTAGGGGCACCGCCTTTGCATTGACCCAAATCCAGGCTGTGTCCCTCCTCCAGGAACCAATGACTCAACCTGACATACTCCTACATCCTTTTGTGCCACTGTAACAGGTTGCAGATTCTCTTGTATATAAACATTGACATCTTGGTGTTGGTAATATCAGCAGGCTCCCCAGCAGGTAAGACCACCATTTTTTTACTTAACTACCTGTGAAATGAATGTGGAAGTATTACAGGCTACAGGGTTCCACTGCTCTTATCTAGTCTGTGTTAAGTGTAGTTGATTAGTCATGGGAGAGGCAGTCTGTCATATATTAATATATGTACCTCTTAATAACAAAGTAGTTGTGAAGAGGTGGGAAAACCATACTTTATGTTTATTAGAAGATCGAATGCTCATGTTGCAGAAGGCATATTCTTAATCAAAATAAGTAAGAGATTGCTGGAAGACCAAAAATGAGATGGACTGAATCCCTAAAAGAGACCACAGGCTTGAGTCTACAATAGCTGAGGTACCACAGGCTTGAGTCTACAAGAGCTGAGGTGGCTGAGGACAGGACACTTTGGAGAATGCTCATTCATAGCGTTGCCATGAGTCAGAGTCAACTTGATGGCGCATAACAGCAACAAGAGATTGCTGGGTGGTGTTAGGCGATACTTCTTCTAAGGTGGCTTCAAACATCCATTCTATATATGGATGGATGAATGGATGGATGGGTAGATGGATGGATAGACAGATGTAAAATTCTCTTTCTTAATGACTTGGAATTCATCTGTGTCAAAGCTCCTATGATGGCACTAAAGGTTTTTTTTAAAAAATCTCCTTGCTGATGAATTGAGGGCATCAAAGACCCTTTACAGTGGTTTATTTAACCTGTTTAACCTGTTAACCAAAAGGAAGGAAGGAAGGAAGGAAGGAAGGAAGGAAGGAAGGAAGGAAGGAAGGAAGGAAAGGGAAAGAAAGAAAGAAAGAAAGAAAGAAAGAAAGAAAGAAAGAAAGAAAGAAAGAACAAAAGCTGCACTCTTAACAGATGTAAAATATTTGTAAAAACAGTATCTATTAGCCATGACAGCTAAATAAAGCCTCCAAGTATAGGAGCAATAGAGTCCAGGAAAGCAAAGGTTGATTATATGCTTGATTTGCTACTATATGAAACAATGGCCTGCTAGATAATGCTGGCAGGTAAGTGTAAGTCTAGAACAGTGGTTCCCAACCTTGGGTCCCCAGATGTTCTTGGATTACAACTTGGCTTCTGGGAATTTTCCCAGATGTTCTTGGATTACAACTTGGCTTCTAGGAGTTTTCCTCCAAGAACATCTGGGAACCCAAGGTTTGGAAGCGCTTGTCTAGAGGGATCGTGCTTGATTCTGAAAGATATTTCTTGGCCTCGGTCCTAATTGACAGGTCAGAAACACCAGCAGTGTCTGCAGCTGGAGTTCCGTACAGGTAAATACTGAACAAGAGCCTGACCTTGGAAGGGACATGAGTATTCAGGTGTATGATGCAAAACAGATCCATATAAAATATGGCCATTCAAAATTGTTGGGAGGCATCTTTGAAGCAGATTTGAAGATGACAACAATAACTTGCTTATGTTCTGAGATTGAGCTCAAGTGGGATAGAAACTTCTGTCTCTGCACAAAACTGTAAAAGTGCAGTTATTAGTGATGGGAGCTGTCCATTCTCTCCACCCAAGTTTATTTCTTTGTGGAATGCTACTTCTGATCAATATTCCATGACCTGTTAGTTCCAGTTACAGTGGTGCCTCGCATAACGAGCGCACCGTACAACGACGAATTCGCATAGTGATCCCTTTTTTGGGATCGCTAATGCGAAGGCATACCGGCAGCCCCAATAGGCAAAACTTGCATTGCAAAGATCGGTAAGCGTTTCGCTTACTGATTTTTGCATTGCGATGTCAGGAAATCAGCGGATCGGTAATGCGAAGGCATACCGGCAGCCCCAATAGGCAAAACTTGCATTGCAAAGATCGGTAAGCGTTTCGCTTACTGATTTTTGCATTGCGATGTCAGGAAATCAGCGGATCGGCAGCTCCAAAATGGCCGCCGCGTGACCCAAAATGGCCGCGCGCAGCGTTTTTGCGCCCTACCCTCGTTTACCGAGGGCGCGAAAATGGCTGCCGGTTGGGGGAAACTTCGCTAAACGGTGAGTACAGAAGCCATTGGAACGCATTGAACTAAGTTTAATGCATTCCAATGGCATTTTGCGTCCCGTTTAGCGATGTTTCCCCATAGCGACGGTTAATCCGGAACGGATTACCCTTGCTATGTGGGGCACCACTGTACATTAGATTCACTGAGTCCATGAGTTTTACATTAAGCATTCCCTTACCATTCTGATTAAGACTAGCATTTACATTTAGGTTCATATCTGATGGGTCAGTTTCACAAGATTTATTCATCAGTAGTGTTACTTTCTTCAATAAACCTTGTCTGCTTCATCTGATAGATGTGAGAGACTGATATGGACATAACATTAAATTGTGTTTAAACTTTATGAAGATGAGCTACCATGAGCCTCAGGTTCAGACTCCTTATTTCACTAACACCAATAGAAGCTTGCTTCTCAAGAGAAATCACAGCACAATGAACATATTTTCCATTATCATAACAGCTGGGTTTTTTTTGGAAATGGGGAAAGCACATTAAATCTAGGAAGGGGGTATGTGTGGTCCTCCACATGTTGGATTGCAGCTCCCATTAACCTTCTCCTTTAGTTATGCCCCTTTGGGTTGATGTGACTTTCAGTTCGACAACATCTAGAGCAGGGGTTTTAAACTCAATTTACCTGGGGGCCGCTAGAGACACAGTCTGGGTGAGGCTGGGCCGGATCAGATTTTCCGCCAAGCGGAGCAAGAGCCCGGGTAATCCACCCAGGAGTTTCCTTAGCCAGCAGACAGGCGGGCTGGCTGGCCGGCTGCAGTTCTGGATGGAGGGGGCAAGAGGCGCTGTCTTGGGAGAGAGGCGGCGAGCGAGGCAAGGCTTTTTTTTTTTTTTTACTCTTGACAGCAGAGGACGTGTGGGCGCTTCAGGGGGGGCGGGCAAGGCAAGGGCCACAAACTATCATCTGGGGGGCCACAAATGGCCTCCGGGCCGCATGTTTGAGACCCCTGATCTAGAGGATGATAGGTTGCTCATTAAGTGATGTGCACTGTCAGGTTGCTTCTGACTTATAGAGACCCTAGTAGACGCTTTGCGATACCTGAGATGTTCAAGGGGCGGTTTTCCATTGCCATCTCTTACAGGCAAGTGGAGACTTGAATCTCAGCTGGATAGTTCAGTGGTTTAGGTATCTGGCTATGGACCAAGGAGTTGGGAGTTCGATTCCCCACTGTGACTCCCAGGAGAAGACCCGAATGTGCACTGTCAGGTTGCTTCTGACTTATAGAGACCCTAGTAGACGCTTTGCGATACCTGAGATGTTCAAGGGGCGGTTTTCCATTGCCATCTCTTACAGGCAAGTGGAGACTTGAATCTCAGCTGGATAGTTCAGTGGTTTAGGTATCTGGCTATGGACCAAGGAGTTGGGAGTTCGATCCCCACTGTGACTCCCAGGAGAAGCCCCGAACTGTATAGCCTTGGGCAAGCCACATAGACCCAGGGTGCCCTCAGAAGAAGAGAATGGTAAAATACTCTGTACCTAGAAAAGCCTGGAAGAGGTTTTCATAAGTAAGAATTGATGGTACAGTTATTACTTCCTGAATGCTAGTCTGAACTAGTGGACAGCTCAGTGGCTTTGGTATCTAGCTGTGGAGCCAGAGGTTGGGAGTTTGATTCCCACTGTGCCTCCTTGATGCACAGGGTCCCTTCTAGCTCTGCAGCTCTAAGATGAATATTATTATAAGACACTCTAGCCTCTACACCCTACTGACTGTTGTGCATTAAATGCATTTGTATGTTTAACTTTGCCTCTAACTTAGCACTCATGCTCTGGATTTATGATTCACATGCCCATAGCAGTGGCAATCTCTGGTGTTGAACTATCATGACTACCTCAGGGTCCTTATTCACTCTTCCTCCTCTTCCTTTTATTTTGCAGACATGGGGGCAAAGATGCTGTTGCCCATTGCTCTGGGGCTGGCCCTGTTGAGTGGTGAGTAAGATCTTGTCTCTGAACTGCAGTTGACAAATATGTGGGTTTTGGAACATTGGAGAAGTATCTCAAAATTCAGCTATGTTTCCAGATCATAATGGGCAACAGAGTTGAGGAGATCCATAAGAAAACAGTGATTGCCATTTTAGATGACGTTTGCCACTTTGATGAACTGTCAGGAGCTCTATAACATTCAGCAAGAGACCTTGGTCGGAGGGCGTTGTGTCAAAAATGATGTAGTAGACCTGAGATTCACAGGGTAGAAAAGCCCCAGGATTTTATGAACAGCAGGAACATTGACTGTTTCTTCACTCACTCGGGCTTCGCTGTTCCCTGGGGATGGATTTTTTCCAGGAGCAATATACTGTTGCAAACAATACACATTGTAGTGCAGAGTGCTGGAGGGTAATTTGATCTTGAATGGGCAGTTACTGTAAGAGCCATCTGCTTTACAAGTGGCTTGTTTTTTGTGGGGAAAAAAGCACACATAGAACTCATGTGTTGATATAGGTCAATCCAGCTGCTAGCAATTTTAGATTCTCCTTATTTTTGTGAATACAGTATGGAGTACAATGGACACAGCATCATCAGTAGATCTATTTTTCCTGTATGCAAAGAAGGTGGAAGACTAGCCTTAATGTAATCCAGCACCAATCTCTCAAATCATTTCATAACAACAGATGTTAAAGCTACATATTTTCTAATGCTCGCATTCATTCAGTGGGTCTTGTTTCCCCATCTGTTTGGGAATGCTTTCTAAAAAGTTCACATAAAAATTAGTTCGAAAGCATTTTGATGTGGCTTTGGACATATGAAAATCCCATGCATTTCTGCACACGGTAGACCCTGTTGCGATGCCCAACATCCAGCCAGACTGTACCTTCTCGTGCTTCCCTGTTCAAGTTCTCTTTCACCATTGTGGCTATTGAGAAACCTCTCACAATATTTTATCTGTGAAGATTCTCCAGGTGAGGTTATCTGGAAGTTGAGTCATGATAACTGGACTTCTTTCCTATTAGGTTGAAACGTTTTGATAGTTTTGTTCGAAAGCATTTTGATGTGGCTTTGGACATATGAAAATCCCATGCATTTCTGCACACGGTAGACCCTGTTGCGATGCCCAACATCCAGCCAGACTGTACCTTCTCGTGCTTCCCTGTTCAAGTTCTCTTTCACCATTGTGGCTATTGAGAAACCTCTCACAATATTTTATCTGTGAAGATTCTCCAGGTGAGGTTATCTGGAAGTTGAGTCATGATAACTGGACTTCTTTCCTATTAGGTTGAAACGTTTTGCTAGTCATCCAAGTAGCTTCTTCAGTCTGAGGAGAGTTGGCAGGAGACCCCTGGTATATCCTCCACATTGGCTTCACTTTCCCTGGTCTGAATAGGCTCCTTAGAAGGATAAAGGGGTGAGGGATAATCCCAAGGTCGGTAAAATGAGTACCCAGCTTGCTGGGGGGGGGCAATGTGTAGCCTGTATAATTAAAATTGTAAACCGCCCGGAGAGTGCTTGTAGCGCTATGGGGCGGTATATAAGTTCAATAAATAAATAAATAATAAATAAATAGTCATCCAAGTAGCTTCTTCAGTCTGAGGAGAGTTGGTAGGAGACCCCTGATATATCCTCCACATTGGCTTCCCTTTCCCCTGGTCTGAATAGGCTCCTTAGAAGGATAAAAGATTAGGGGTGAGGGATAATCCCACTGCAGTTCTTCTCCACCCATTGTCATGGGTCGTTGATGGTAATTAACAGTGGTCTTTCTGGTGTGTGTGGCCCTAATCCTTCTGGGAACAGAGGAAAGGGCAGCATGATAAATAGGAGAGAGATTGTATCTAAGGCCTCCATCCCTGTTGAGTGAGGGATTTTCTGTATGCACATGTATGGCCTCCCTGACCCCTCTCTCAAACCACCTATCTTCTCGGTCCAAAATAAGTGCATCTTGGTCATCAGATGAGTGTCTTTTGTCCCTCAAATGAAAGAACATTGCATCAAATGAGCCTATTCAGACCAGGGGGAAGTGAAACCAAGGTGGAAGGTATATCAGGGTCTCCCACCAACTCTCCTCAGACTATTTGGATGACTAGAAAGGTATATCAACCTAATAGGAAAGAAGTCCAGTTGCCATGACTCTACTTCCAGATGACTCTCACAAATTCTGCAAAATAAATGTAATCTCACACAGTTGGGCAAATAACTGGAATGGTTTAAAATAATTTAACAAGCATGCATACTTGCAACTGTTTGGATCTAACCGGGTGATGTAAGATCTTCTAGTGACAAAATTGATGCATTTAGAAGCTGTACCACAATGCCGAAGGAGTGGTGGCAGCTTGCGGCCAGGGAGAGAAGGGCTACACCTCCCTGCTCCTCTTTCTCTCTTGTAGTTAGGCTTTGAAAAAAGCTTTCATTGGTATCAGTAGAAAGCTGTTAAAAGCCTGAAGGCTACATGGGGAACATCTGGGAGCAGGGTCTGCTAGTGGTGTGGGAAGCGATCTGAGAAATAAGGGCAGCAAGAACACTTCTCCTGTGGGTCGTATCTGGCCCACAAGTTGACAGTTCCTCATTTTTTGTTCTACGCTGACTGTTCATAGTTCTCTGGGCTTTGAGATTGAACTCTTCCCCAGCCCACCCTGGAGATTTGGGGTGTTGATATTGGGGTCTTTTATATGGAAAGCCATGCAGTCATTCATTGGGATACCTACTATGGTAAAATTACCATAGTGTCAGCCCCACCACACCCCAATGAAGTGTTCAGGTTCCACTGGCTGTGCAAGAGTACCAGGTAATGTAGCTGACCTGGGCTGAGATTTCTCTAAGCCAATGGTTCCCAACCTTGGATTCCCAGATGTTCTTGCACTTCAGCTCTAGCAGGCTCCAGATTTTGCCATGCAGTTCTTCTCCAGTCTAAAGCAAAGCAAAGCAAAAAAGAAAAAGAAAAAGAGAGATATTGGGGGAGAGAGAGAGAATGCATGGAAAATACATACACCAGGGGGAAAAAACCCAGCTGAAAGGCTCAAGGTTGGGGACCACTGCTCTAAGCCCATGGTTCCAGATTTTGCCATGTAGTTCTTTTCCAGTCCAAAGCAAAGCAAAGCAAAGTAAAAAAAGAAAGAAAAAAAAGAGAGATTGGGAGAGAGAGATAAAACCAGCTGAGTTTGAAAAAAATATTTTTGGGGACTATAATGTCCAGAATCCTCATTAGCAGTGTCACATGGTCTTGGGGGAGTCTAGTAGTTCTAGTCAAAAAACAGAGTAACTTTCCAAGTTAAGGAAAAGTATATACAAAATGTGTGTATACAAAAAAAGGTATGTATCGGGGCAAATGTCATGCAAAAATTGACCCTAGTAGGATTTGTAATTGAGGGTGGTTGACCAAGTGTGGGAAACTCCTGCCTAAAGGTTGTAGCTGCGATTCTGTTTCAGTGACGTGCATGCACTCCTGGCAGGATTAGGCAGCGGCAGGAGGTGGGGTAGCCCTTTCTTCTGCCTTTCCTCTTAGAGTTAGAGCATAAGATCAAAGGGTTATTTTAGCCAATCCTAGTTAACGATTAGGTAACCACTATCCTATCTGTTTCTCTCATAACATACTGTGTAATCATGATAAGTCAATAAAAAGAGCTCTTGGGGCATTGCCATTAGGCTCTGCTGGTTTGGACAACTGCTGTCGACTCCTTTGTTCTCTCTCTCCAAGGCAATTAGCCTTTCATGTGTTCTGTGATCACCACAACCAAGGATTTAGCACAGCTGGTGATGAAGGCTTCTGGAAATTTTAGTCCAAGAATGTCTGGGAATCCAAGAGTGGGAATCTCTGCTCTAGGTGTTAAAGCACACTGGCTTAGAGAACCACTGCTATCATAATAACTGGGATACACAAGGATAGTTCTACAATGTTCTTTATAGGTATTGGTTTAAGTAGCTGGATTTGGGATTCTCCAGAAAACATACTTCTCAATATCCAGACTTACAAAGAAATAAACTTTTCAGTTCCAGTGCCTGGGTGTATCCCACCCACACAGCACTGATTTTCTGCTTCTTCTGTCCCTTCTAGGCCTCCAAGCAGTAGCTCCCACTGGCCGGGAATTCATCACAACCTTCTTGCAAAACTACAAGCTGGACTATCCACAGGCGAAGTTCCAGCTCTTCATTTCTGGCTACTCACAGTCCACCACTGTCACCATCTCCATCCAAAAATCCCTTTTTAAGAGGGATCTTTCCCTCACCAAGGGGCAGACTGTGGTAGTGAACATACCAGTCTTTGCTGAGATGGCTGGCACTGCTAAATTCTGCAACACTGTCTGGGTAAGAGCTAATCAAGACATCTCAGTGCTGGCTCTCAACTCAAAGAAAAATTCAGCTGACACCACTATTGTCTATCCGGTCCACCATTTAGGTGTGGAATACTATGTGTTCACACCTCCCGGAGAGCTGCCAAATTCGTACAAGGAGTTTTCTGTGATTGCCTGGCGTGATCGCACTGCAGTGGAGATCCATCTCAAGGGGAGTGTGAGATTCCAGGAGCGTGTCTACCCAGCAGGCAGCAAGCTGAACGTTGTCCTTCCACCCTATGAAGCCGTCCAGTTCCAGAGCCGGCAAGATCTCTCTGGCACTTTGATCAGAGCAGCAAAGCCAGTAGCAGTGCTCAGTGGTCACACCTGTGCCCATAAGAACACCAACTGCAACCATGCAGTGGAACAGCTGCAACCAGTGTCTAGCTGGGGCCGGGTTTTCTTTATCCCCCCTCTCTCATTCCAGACGAACTATGACCTTGCATATGTAGTTGCATCCCAGACCACTGTAATCACTTACACTGCTCATGGGAAGCATATGAACTATATCCTCACTGCAGGACAGGTGCTTCAGTTGAAGGTCTCAGGTTCCAGCCCGATCTACATCATGGCCAACGTGGGTATCCAAGTCTTCTTCTTTGGCACAGGTGGCACCTACTCTCATCTCACCTTTGACTCTTTCTTTTTGAGTGTCCCTGACGTCCCCAGCTATTGCACCTCCTACTCTCTTGGTAGCCACACAGGTTTTGAGAATTATGCCCTCATCATTGCGAAGACTGTTGCCACCAGTGGGATCACCATGGACGGCCGCTCCTTAGCTGGTGTCTCTTGGAGACCGATTCAAGGGACAGAGTATTCCTGGAGCGAGTACAGCCTCGGGAAGGATGGAGGTGCCCATACCATGACGCATCCTAGCAGCCCCTTTGGTCTGCTAAGCTTGGGCATTGCTGAACGGAATGCTTATGGTGCCACAGGCCTCTGCCAAGGGGGTGAGTAATGGGGCCATTGAAGTAGGAGGTAAATTCCCACAAGCAGCCATTAAAAAAAGAAAAAGAAAAAAAACCCCAACTCATTCCCAAAGCATATAAGGGTGACTTTGGGGATACTCACCTTCTTAAGTCAGCCAAATGGATCTCACAGCCAATAAATTGCTGCAGCCTCCTTTTATGTTGTCACAAGTGTGGATGATGGATGGGATAGGAAGATAGCTAATAGGTTGCTTTTCCCCCACTTGGAAGGTAAGGGAGACTTCTGTATGTGAGTGCGGTATTCATGACTCTGTGTGGACCCCTCACACATTTTTATTGGTGAGCAAAATTGCAAATCCTTCCCCCCCCCCCAAATATTGCACCCAAGCAACATTGGTGGTGGAGGATTTTATCCACCAGATACTAATATAGTTTAATTATTTTTACCCAAGATTTACAATTAAAGTTATCCTGTGCGTTAGCTTACAAGTAAGAAACAGTCCTCCACTGCTCCCTCTGTTTGATATTTTTGTTGTCTCTCTGGCCATCATCTCCATGCTTATCCCTCATCTTCCTTTTGCTTTCCATTCCTTCCCCCTTCTCCCCACTGTTAGAATAATCTTGTTCCTTTTCTTGCCAGATGTTCAGCCTTCGGTCCCGCAAGCTTCCTGCAGTTCTATCCAGTGTCGGAAGAAGGAGACTTGTCAAATGGTGGATGGGCAACCAAGGTGTTTAGCCCAGTCTGCTGCCACCTGCTGGGCCCTGGGTGACCCTCATTATCGGACTTTTGATAAGCATACATACAACTTTATGGGCACCTGTACCTATACTCTGGCCAAGACCTGCGGTCCAGACACAACTCTTCCCGTCTTCCATGTTGCAGCCAAAAATGAGATCCGGGGCAGGCTGAGTGTGTCCTACATTGGTCTGGTGATGGTCCGGGTCTACGGCTATGACATAACTGTGGCCAGAAAGGAGTATGGCCTCGTCAGGGTAAGAAGAGCCACATTTCATTCTCCTAATTGTAGGAACCAGTGCTGAAACCATGGCACGCTCAATCAACCTTGGCAGGGCAAACTTGGACTGGGTGGGGACCACTTCCTACCCTACCCTTGGACTCCTTGTGGGTCATTCCATTGCCTTCTGTGGAAACCAGCCATTACCAGAAGGTAATCACAGATTCCGCGTAAGAATGTTGTATTATTTTCTTCTGTTTTGCTAAAATAAGGAGCAAGGGAGGAGACATTTTGTAGAATCATGACTTCTGGTGGTCTTTGGAAGTCTGTTTTTTTTTTCTTTTCGTCCATGTGAGAATATGGAGAGTGTGATTTTAATTAGTATATTGTTTCATTCTTGTCAACGTTTAACTCATTATGTTTTTAATTCTATTCTTTTTAACACTGTGACTCACCTTGGGTCCTCCTGTTGGGAGAAAGGCAGCCCATCTAACTAACTAACTAACTAACTAACTAACTAACTAACTAACTAACTAACTAACTAACTAACTAACTAACTAACTAACTAACTAACTAACTAACTAACTAACTAACTAACTAATGGAAGGACGGACCAACAGACAGACAGATGGACTAACTAACCTATATCTGAACAGGGATTCTAACAACAGTTTTAAAAAACCTGGCCATTGAAGCTGCACAAAGATTTGGTCAAATGTTCCTCTTTTCCAGATGAGGAGCATTAAGGCATAGAGAGGAGAAATTAGTTCAAGTCTGGCCAAGGCAGAACATATTGTCGTTATAAATGTTCTTGTTAAAATATTGAGAGTCAGAAACTCTTGCTGATAACTTTGAATCAGCCAGATATCTATGAACAGGTCTCATTTCAACTGCTACTCACTCTTATTTATTTATTTATTTATTTATTTATTTATTTATTTATTTATTTATTTATTCATTCATTCATTCATTCATTCATTCATTCATTCATTCATTCATTCATTCATTCATTCATTCATTTATTATTTGCTGCATTTTTCCTGATAAGGGACCCAAAGTGGCTGACAACATTAAAATTCACACAATTTAAAAACACAATAAGTTAAATATTAAAAAATGAATTAAACAATATACGATTTAAAGTACAATTTAAAGATTAGAACATGAAAAGTTGAAAAAGATTAAAATTTCTGCTGAAATGGAATTCAGGGATTCAGTTGCAATTGTTAAAAGCCTGCCTGAAGAGATGGGTCTTTAGCTTTTTTCGGAAGGATAAAAGGGAAGGGGCCATCCTGATCTCCTGAGGGTGAGCGTTCCATAGCCTGGGAGCCGCCACAGAAAAAGCCCTCTCCCGTTTCCCCATCAGCTGCGCTTGTGCTGGCAAGAGGAGGTCTGGTGATCTTAATTGCTAAAAAGGCACATATAGGGAGATACGGTCCTTCAGGTAGCCTGGACCCAAGCTGTAGAGGGCTTTATAGGTAATGACCAGCACTTTGAACTGGGCCTGAAAATGGACTGATAGCCAGTGCAGTTTTTGTAACACATGCATTATATGCTCCATGTAGCTGGCTCTAATCAGTAGTCTGGCTGCAGTGTTTTGCACCAGCTGAAGTTTCCGAACTGTCTTCAAAGGCAGACCCACACAGAGCGTGTTACAGTAATCCAAATAGGATGTAACCAAGGCATGTGTCACTGTAGCCAGATCCGACATCTCAAGGAGCAGGTGCAGCTGGTGCACCAGATTTAGCTGTGCAAACGCACTCCTGGCTACTGCCGAGATCTGGGCATCCAAGCTTAGGAATCAATCTAGGAGTACACCCATGCGGATCTGGGCATCCAAGCTTAGGAATCAATCCAGGAGTACACCCATGCTGTGGACCTGAGTTTTCAGAGGGAGTGTAACCCCATCCAGCACAGGTAGTGTGCCTATTCCCTCATCTGTCTTCTGACTAACCAGGAGCACCTCGGCCTTATCTGGGTTAAGTTTCAGTTTGTTTGCCCTCATCCAGACCAATACTGGTGCCAAGCACTTGTTTAGAGTCAAAACAGCTTCCCTGGGTGTTCCCCTTTTGTACAGCAGACCTGAGTTTGCAGTTATGTTTGTAGTGATTTATATTCATGTTTCTGAGTTAGTGATTAACATTTGCCAAGATCCACCCTTCGTTTGTTTCCTTTGGCAATCATATCAAGAAATGTGTTTGCTGCATATGTTTGAAATACTATGCTACAATTCGTAAGGGCATGCTGTATTAGTAATGTGATCCCATCTACTCTTCATTGTGGGAAATAAATGCCCATGTAAACAGACACTGTTTGCTCAGTTTCCACAGGGGAAAATCTGAATGTTTCCTATAAAGCACCTTGTCAACAGGATCCTTATGGATAACCCATAGATTTGTGTCCTTTTCACATCTGACGAGGATTTTTATTTATGGTCTCAGAAGATATTGTACCTTGTTATATTTAAGTCTTCATTCCTGGATACCTTGCAATAATTCTGTCTTAAAAGTTAAAAAAAACAACACCATTTTCTTCTGAGGTTTATCAAGCAAGCAACTGAGTAACTAAAAGCCAAAAATATACAATATATGTGGAATATATGTAAAAATTACTTGAGTATATACTTTCAAAATTACAGCCTTTTATTACATATTTCTTTAGTTCATATGTGTAAATAATAGTTCTACTATATTACAAAATAAACATCGAATCTATTAAAATAAGAGCTTCTGTTTAGTCACCATATAGGTGAACTTCAATGATTCAAAATATAAAGCAAACAAGTTCTCTATAGTAAGAGGCTATTTTCTTAAATAACTCTCATTCAGTCACGTAAAAAACAAAATCTGTTACAACACAAATTGTTATCAAAGCATAAGCAAGAACATTTGCAAAAAAGTCACATCACATTAGATATTTCTCACCCAGTATTTTCCCAGCAGAGATGTCTCCCCTGTTTGTAAAAAGCAGCTGGCTGTTTGTGTTGGAGACGTCCTTCTAAACATGATGTAAATCTCTGTTTTTATACACTTGTTTCTTAAACAAAACAATCTTGGCTTTCCCGTGGGTAAGCATCGTTGGCTGGGTTAAGACAGCTGTGGGTTGATTCAGCTAACTGCTGAGATACTTATAGTTGGGAAAACGGCCTCACTTAGAGTAATTTCCTTAAAACCATATTTGGACGGTATAATACATTTTGAATGCCAACTTCCTGCATTTTACATTTTCTAAATTTCCCAACCTGATATATAATTTCCCCAAAACTTATCATTGACAGTTTGGAATGTTAATCGCTCATTCATCATCACCACAACATGCACCCCCATATCATTCTATCTGCCATGTAGTCTGTAGTTGAGTTGTTGATCCTTCTTTATGGTAGGGATTAGAGATGGGCACCTAGAGATACCAGACTCACAGAGAAACTTTTCCTGACTCTTCTCTACAATACCTCCAAATTTGGTAAATATTGGGTTTCAGACATGCAAGTCATGCACCCACAAAAGTGCCCCCCCCCCAGGAACATGGCTTTTAGCGGCTGGTTGGAAAAACCCAATCTTCTCCAAGCCTGGAGGGACTGTAGAGAAGTGTCAAGGGGAAGCCTCTTTGTAATTTTTGTGTCTCTTCGTGGGGGAGGCATTTTATAGCTCGACAAATAAAAATTCACTAAAAATGTGTTGATTCATATTTTTCAGGGGCATCGATTTGGACAGATATAAATCAATAAATTTGATGAATTTTGCAATTCCTTTTAAAATTCATGCCCATCTCTAGTAGGGAACATTTGAAGCACATGCTTTGCATGCAGGAGGCCCTAGGTGTTGACTCTTGGTATTTCCTGTTAGACTGGGTGGTAAAAAACGACATCTGTTTCAAACACTGAAGCTCATTGAAGAGTACTAGGGTAGATGGACAAATTGTGTGTATTGCTTCCATAATTTCTTTCTTCCTGTGATCTGTCTTTCTTGTGAAATGCTGTTCAAGAAAGGGTTAACAGCGCAGCAGAAATAGTCATTCATTTCAGAAAATCCACGCACATAGAAAATTAGCTGATCATAGGGAAACCTAAATTAGTTTTTTCCCCCTTTTGATCAGCTAATTTTCTGTAGAAAGGGTTGAGGCATTTCAATCAAATGTTGAAGCATTTGATTTCCTGACTGAAATCCGGTTGCTTTTTTATGGATGTAGAAGGAAAATAGCGTAAGAGTTATTTGCATCTAGGTGGCAATTAACAAATTGCTACTGTGATCTTTGGGGAATCTGTGCCTACTGATTTAGTGCCTGCTCAAGAATGCCAGCAGGGACTTATTAATTGCTGGTTAGAAACAAACGTTTATTATGCCATTTGCTTTCTGCTTGTGCAAAAAAGCAATAGGAATTCAGCCCCTGGGTTGTAATTCTGAAATGGCACAACCCTATACAACTGAATATGTCCTGGTATTTCTACATGCATGGATGCAGCTCTGCTTTGTATCCTGAAGCGCACTGCAGCTTACATTGCACAGGTTGGCTGGCTTGGGTATGGATAGTTTTGTAGCATGGCAGGTGGTTGAATCAAACTTTGGGCTACCTCCCAGTCCTATGGTTCTACAGACAATATCTGGAGTTGGGACAGCTGTAGTACTTCTCTAACAATTCCATTTGCTGTGCTAGGTGAATAACCAACGTTCCCGGCTGCCCATTTCCCTGCATGAGGGCAAACTGTGGCTCTACCAGAGAGGCACTTCTATTTTCATTGAAACAGACTTCTTCTTGAGAGTCTCCTATGACTGGAACAGCCAAGTGTTGGTGCAAATCCCCAGCAGCTTCTCTGAGAACGTTTGTGGCCTCTGTGGTAACTACAATGGAGACCCTGCTGATGACTTCAGGACCCCAAGTGGGTCTTTGGCCTTGAGCCCTGCAGAATTTGGCAAAAGCTGGAAGCTGGAGGATGGTGATAAAATGTGCTGGGATGATTGTCATGGAGAGTGCAAGAAGGTCACCCTGGAGATGATAATCAAATATAAGGCTGAATCTTTCTGCGGCTGGCTCAGCAAAAGAGAAGGTGGCCCATTCAGCCAATGCCACTCTGTCATTGATCCCAAGATCTTTGTGGAAAACTGTGCCTATGATCTCTATATCTATGAAGGCCACCGAGAGGTTTTGTGCCAAGCGCTGAAAAATTATGCAGATGCCTGCCAAAGTGAAGGAGTGCCTTTGTCTGACTGGAGGAGACTCACTGGCTGTTGTGAGTAGAATTAATTTGCTTTTATGACATACCAACTTGACAAGCCATTGATGTCTTGAATTCAGATCAAGGAGTGGGAATTAAAATCAACAACATCAATGAAAAAGAGCAGAAAGTAAATGCAGGTGGCACTCACAAATCAATTTTTCTGTGACCTGCCAGTTTGGACGGTTTTGAAAAGGGGACTAGACTGACCATTGACCTTGGATATTTCAATGGTCAGTTGCACCAGGAACAGCCTCTCCAGGTTGATGTGTGGTATACATATTGGCTCTAGTTTTCTTAGGTAAAGGGGAGAATAAATCGTAAAGCGAGACACCACTGTATAGCTTCAGTTTTCTTAGGAAAAGGGGAGAATTAGTCCTTCCATAGACTAATGAGATCAGTGGTTGTGATTTCATAAACTGAATAATAAACTGAATTATTGATTATTTCCATAGACTAATGAGATCAGTGGTTGTGGTAGCACAGTAGGTCAAAACTGAATTATTGATTGCATGTTAATCTGTGTCAAGGATGGGCAACTTGTGGGCCTCTAGGTATAAGCAGCCTTTAACTCCTGTCTGCTGGGAGATGATTATGGGAGATGCAGTCTTGCATCACCTGCATGGTCACAAGGTCCAGACCCTAATCTATACTGTGAAACACAGGATGTGAAACAAAAACAGCACAAAACAAACAAGCAGAGACGTAAAGCAGTTGCTGGGTGGTCCTGCCAACTATATGCTCTAAATTGGGGTGGGCCATGTGTGGATCATGGGCCAAATGTGGCCCCAGGGGGCAAAATGTGGCTCAGGCACTCCCACAACCCCCCAAATCCCCTTTCAGGGTCTGAAGGTCCCCTTCTGCCTTCTAGAGGCCGTGGAGAAGACTTTGCCATGTTTTGAAGGACCCCCAGCACATCTTGGGTCATTACTTCCCCTTTAAGAAATGCTTTTGGCCACTAGGGGGCACAAGAAGGCATTTCAGATACAAAACCATTTTTATAAGAAACCTTTTTTAAAAAGGAGGTTGTGGTGGTTTTTGCTATGGACCATGAAAGCCCCTGGAATTTTGGAAATTGACTATCTCTGTTCTAAGTTAAAGTTAGAGACCCTCAGCTTTTCATTTTTTTTGTGTACTTTTGCTTATCCTTGGCAGAAGTCCATCACAATTGTTGACTGTCCCACTGTACTTCCAGTCCAGCACAGTGAGATTTTAGAATGATTTCAGAAGTCAGGATACGTGAGAGTGACAGGCATGCAGAACTGCAATGCCAGTTGCCGGCATTTGATACAATAAAGGGGAATTCCTGGACCAAAAAGACAAGCAAGGAAAGGAGACAGGTTGTGACAGTAAAAATCTCTGAGAGGAAATGCTTAATCTGTGCTGTATTTTCTGTCATTTTACTTCTTCTCCTGTGTGTTTTAACTGATGCTGGGGGCAGCGGGTGGCACTTCTCTGAGGAGGAATCCTGACAAAAATGACCCTTTTTACTGAATTATTTTGCAGCTCTTTCCTGCCCTGAAAATAGTCAATACAAGCTCTGTGGGTCTGCCTGTCCTGCCACGTGCAACGACCAAGCTCTTCCTGGCACCTGCTCTTCTTCGCGATGTGTGGAGACCTGCCAGTGTAATGAAGGCTTTGTGCTGGAGTCTGGGAAATGCATTCCGAAAGCAGCCTGCGGGTGTGTTTTCGAGGGTCGCCTGTTGGCTCCCAATGAGCAGTTCTGGGGGGACAACACCTGCACAAGACGCTGCACCTGTGATCCGCAGAGCAAGCAAGTGCAATGTCAGACAGCCAGTTGCCAGGATGGGGAAGAGTGTAAGGTCAAGAATGGCATCCAGAGCTGCTACCCCACTGGCTATGCCACCTGTTCTGCCTTTGGTTATTCTCACTACCATACCTTTGATGGGCAGAGCTTTAACTTCCAGGGCACCTGTCTCTACACATTTGCTGGGCTCAGCAAGAAGAGCCAAGATTTGACAGATTTCCAGGTCTTGGTCCAGCATGCAGGCCAGGGTGGTTGGTCCCTGTCCCTCAACAAACTGGTTAAGGTTCAAGTCTATGGCCTGGAGATCTCTCTCAGCTGGGCTTATCGAGGAAGAATTATGGTGAGTTTAATCTGACCTACTTTTATTAACACCTCCATTAAAAACCCCACTTCTCCACGTTGTCCAGTTCATAGACGCTGGCACATGTTAGGAACTCTTGGATCTTCAAAATCTATTCTGTAGTGAAATATCTTCCAAGTATGGGCTGAAAGAGGCAGGAAAAAAAATTCCTCGCTATCTCCAGTCAGTGATCAGAGATAATGGGGACTTTGGTCCCAACCTCTACCAGCCAGAAGGTGCCAGAGCTTTCGTTAGGATGGGGGCAGAGTGTCAATAGTCCGGGTTAGACCCACCGACTGGAGATTCCATCATACTTCAGATACATGGGCCCCAAACCTTTTAGGGCAATTAAAATTAAGGTTTACACTGGGAATTGAGCCTGAAAACTGTTTTGCATTGAGTACTGTAGATAGGAGACAGTTTTGCACAAGAATATGTGCAAGTTTTTCACTTACTCACTGTCTGTCTGTTTCATATCTCCTCCAATGAATCTAAAATAGCATAAGGTTTCTCCTTATCATCTAGTCATCAGAACAATCCTGTGAAACAGATCAGGCTGAGTTCACTTACTCACTGTCTGTCTGTTTCATACCTCCTCCAATGAATCTAAAATAGCATACAGGATTCTCCTTATCATTTAGTCATCAGAGCAATCCTGTGAAATAAGATCAGGCTGATAATGTGTGATTGGTACAATATCTTACCAATGAGTTCCATGAGTTTTACGAGTTCTAATCTGATATTCGAACAGCCACACCAAAATGCTCCCATTAATAATTTTATAAAGTAAGGCATGGATTTTTTAAAAAAGGGGAAAAAAATCACAGTTTTCATTTCAACGGCTCTAATAGGCTTGGAGTCAGATTTTTAGGCAATAGGCTTCCCACTTATTTCTTTACCCTGCTTTTGCTTCCAGGTGAACGGCTTGCTGACCAACTTGCCCTACAGAGTAGGTGCCAACCAAATCCTGATCTACCCACAAGGCTGGCATACTGTGATCCAAACAGATTTTGGCCTCACCGTCACTTTTGATGGGCAAAGCCGTCTCACAGTCACGGTGCCGAAAACCTACCGAGGTGCTCTTGCTGGTCTCTGCGGCAACTTCAATGGAGAAAAACAAGATGACCTGAAATCTGGAGACATGGGGCCAGTCTCAAATTCAATAGCCCTGGGCCAGCACTGGAAGGTGGCAGAGTCTCTGGGATGTGCAGAAGTAAGCCAAAGCGTTTGTCCAGATCTGGAAAGCATTGGTGGCCATCAACGAGGCAGTAGAATGGAATGTGGAATCCTTGTGGACAACGGTGGCCCGTTTAGGGAATGCCATGGCCATATCGATCCAGAAGTCTTTTTCTTGGACTGTGTATATGATTATTGCACATTCAATGGTCAGAAGGCAGTGCTGGGACATGTCATCGCAGCTTATGCTGCAACCTGTCAAGCTGTTCAGGTTACCATTTATAGCTGGAGAATCGACATATTCTGGAGTAAGTATGTTTTCGTTTTGCTTCACTTCCCATTGCCCCTGTTGAGCAAATTTGCATTAACTGTCTTGGAAAATGTTTGAGAAAAGCATTAGTCAAGTGCTCTAAAAAGGATTAATATGAATGCATAAAGAGGGAAGATTCTAGCCTTTCAATCCACCTGCAAGTCTCTCTATAATGTTTGTTTGTTTGACTTGTATCCCACTCATCTACTGGCAAGCTACTACTCTGGCGGCTACAAAGAAAGTACTGTAATATAAATATACAACCCAAATTAAACAAAAGATGCATACAAGGCCCATATTAAAACCAGTGAGCTATTTAAACACTTATGCGACGCTTGCAAATGACATCGCACAAGCATTTTGTACCCTGGAATTGGTTCTGAAAGAAAAAATAATGAGATTGCTTCTGAAGTTGTGCATCTACAGCCTCTTAAAATCCAGTGCGCTCTTTGTCTGACAGAAATTTTCAAGGGATCATTTCACTGCATTTGTCTGGGTAGAAGGTTTATAAGAGCGTAATGTGTTAGTCTGTGCTAGCATATCAGGCAAAACAAAATAAAAAATAAAGAAGACAAAACATTGTGGCATCTTAAAGACTAATTGCTACAGTGGGGTCTTGACTTAAGAACGGCTCGAGTTAAGAACATTTTGACTTAAGAACCGCTCTCATAGGAAAATATTGACTTGACTTAAGTACTTAGATTTGAGTTAAGAACTGAAAAAAAAACCACATGGGAGGCAGGGAAAGTGCAAAATTTGAACTTTCAGTTAACTGTTGGCCAGTGAAAAGGGTGCCTGTCTGCTTCCTCACTCCTCCCAGCGTTTAGAGAGTGGATTGGGAGTCTTCAGACTGCCTGGTACTGCCTGGACTGTATTTTCCCTGCCTTCCCTGAACCTTTCTTGACCTTTGAAAAAAAGAAACAAAATATCCCCCTCTAGTGGTCGAAGGCAGAATAGCAGCTTCCCATTAGTTTCTATGGACGGAAAAGAGCAGATACGGATCAAATGGTTTTCACTGCATTCCTATGGGAAATGCAGATTTGACCTGAGAACTTTTTGACTTGAGAACCGCCTTCCAATACGGATTAAGTTCTCAAGTCAAGACCCCACTGTATATTCCAACCATGCTTAAAAAGGAGGATGCTTAGACCACGCTCCTCAGCTAAGTTTGCAACCTGAGTCTGGATTCACCTCATATACGCAGACTTGGCAGGAACATCTGCCATGAATTTTTGAGGAAAAAAAATGCTGCACTATCCATAAAACAGCAATGAACAGCCTGAGGAAGTAGGATTTTACCCATGAAAGCTTGCAATTTGTGTGACTTTTTAGTGGTTCAATAAAGGTATCACCTACCTCTCACATCTGTGTAATCCTGAACCACACAGCCTTTCCCTAATTCTTTCTACTATATTTTAATGTGCTCTTTTGTGGACAATACTCCAAAAAAAAACCCATAGAAATATTCTCAAAATATATGTACATTGTACACGTAGTACATATGTATATACATATATTGTGTATATTTTAAGAAAAAGCTATACAGCCACATTATTTACTAATCATACCAATTTCTTAGATAAGGAATAGAAATATTTTCTCAGAAAACATTTTTCTATGAAAATATTTCAGCTACTTTTTAGCAATT